ACCTTTCAGTAAATGCCACTTTATGGGAACGTTTCTGAACACAACTAAAAATTTCTTCATCTGAGGAAAATAATAGTTGCCATTCTCACAGGCATATAAGATTAAGTGAAGTAATACAGGTAAAACACTTAACACTGTGCCTGGATATCATTTCTGGCACATAAATTTTAGTCTTGCCCTTCCTCTCCTCCAATGTCACCTGATCTTTCTCCTATTGGGTCCTGCCACTCCTCTGCCTTAAAACCTTCCACCTCTCCCCATCACCTCACTTGTAGGATAAAGTCCAAACTTCTTAGTCTGGCCTTGTGGAAGTTGCTTCCCAGTCCTGCCTCAGCCCGGGTACCTCTCCTGGCTCAGCAACTGCTGCTTTTACACCCAACACTAGAGGCACATCAAATAGCACTTGTCCCCCGGAACAGAAAAGGTTCTGCCAGGCCTTCTCACTCTTTTGGGCTTTTGCCCGGAATACGGTAGTTTAAAGCATAGCTTTTAAGATCAGAGCTGGGTTCACATTCCAGCTCTCCACTTACTAGCCATGTGACCTTGAGCAAATTACTCCTCTCAGGACCTGTTCCTAACTTACAACATGGAGAGCCCATTATATCCTTCCTCCGTGTTGCCGGAAGGATCCCGTGAATTAATGCATGTAAACCCCGCTGACATCTGGAAAGGGCTTGCTCATGTGCTCTATAATTAGTATTAAACTGCCTTCACTCCTCACAGCACTAACTGCACTGTACCCTAACTGCCTCTTTGTATGTCTGTCTCCCTATTAGATTATAAACTCTATGAGGGCAGGGACATTATCTATTTTCCAGTGTATGTTCATATGGTAATTATTCAAATACTCTTGAATAACTGAATGTTTTAAATGTCCTATTACCTAACCCTTCCCAGGGTTCTGGCAACCTCACTCTCCACCACCACCTCCTTTTACTGTGGCCTCCTACCTCCCTTCTAATTCACTCGGCACCGACGATGCTACTTTAAGGGGACTCTCTCTCTCCCCCTTTACTGTGAGCCCCCGGGGTTGCATACTTACTCCGCAGGGAGGTCTGAGTATTAAGTCACATAAAGAAAAGTGGCCCTGGTTGGTGCTTTATAAAAAGTACCACTATTACTCACATAAGGAAGCTGGTCGCTATGGGGGGAAGGGGGGAGAGTTCTCGCGCGACTGCGGCCTGGGGTAGGGCGACCCCCGGAGCTGAGGAAGGGCCGTCCGGGGGTTGACCTGTGCGTGCTGGGGAGCTCGGGGTAGGGGGGACCGGGGCCCAGGCTGCACTGAGTCGAAGCCAGACTGGGCCCAGGCCCGGGAAACTGCAGCCCTATAGCCTGCTTGCCTGTCCTCCCGGACGAGCCTCACCTCCTCCACTTTCAGATCCTCCACAGTGGGCAGCTCCACTATCCCCGGCATGCTGTCGGCAGCCCCGACCCGGACGAGGCAGCCGCAGCCGCGTCGCCCCCGTCTCCTTGAACTCCCCTTTCGACCGCCGAGGGCCACCTAGCGCCTGCGCATGCGCAGCTGGCGGCACGCAAGCGCACTGCTCCTCCCGTCCGCGAGCCACGGAGCATGCGCGGAGCCGGGAAGCCTCGCGGCCGCGTTGGCTCCGCCCATCCCTCCCGGTTGTCATGGTGAAGCGGTGGACGCTGAGCCTCTGGGATCCCAGCGGCTGGAAGCTGGAGGCAGGCGCCATGGAGTACACGGGGAGCGAATATATTGGGAAATTTGTAGATGGGAGGTAAGGGCCTCTTTTGATTCATTATGTCTTGAACATCTGTGACTGGGAAAAGACAATTGTCTTTTTGCCTTTGAAAGGAACCTTCCACCAGACACTTTGACAAACTTTATCCCTTTTAACCTTCAGAACAACAATTCCAGGTAGGATTGTTTATTCCCATTTTACAGCTCAGTAAAATGAGACCCAGAGAAGTGAAGTAACTTGCTCAAGCTGCAAAGCCGAGACACATTCATTCCATATATACTTGGGCCAAGGCAGAGGTGGTGGGTCTGCAGGAAAGAGAAAAATGTAAAAGTTGGGGATTTCCTTGCCAGGACTTGGCACCTGGTTGGCTCCTGGCCCTGCTCAGAGACTGCTTCCAGGCCCAGCCCAGTGCCCAGCTCCAGGCTTTGAACCTGGAGGATTCTGTTAACATTCATAGAAACTGAGAGCTCTGAGGAGGGACTGCTTTGGAAGAGAAGAAAATGAGTCCATTTGGGGTGAGATGGAGATGCTTGTAGAAGCTCTGTAGAAGGACAATGAGTCCAATTTACAGTAATAAAAGGGGGGTCCTAATATCAGAGAAGGACTTAGATGGGAGCTATACTTAGAAATGATTTGAAGGGATTAAGCAATGAAAGTTATATATGTTTATTAACTTATGTTTCCTGATCACAAGCAAAGTATAAGAACAAGAATTAAAGGAAATATAAACCTTAAAAAATTATGTGATCTCAAGCAGAGGTAGAGGAAAGAAGGGAGACTTCTTTCTCCTCCTATGTCTTGCAGTAGGATAAAGGCAAAAATAGTTTTTGAGTTCTTAATATATGCCAGGCATTCTGCTGTAGTTTTGCATCCATTCTCTCATTTAACTATCTCAACAACTTTGGGGGGTTGTTGTCCGTGTCCCCATTTTATAGGTGAGAAACTGGCTCAGAGAGGTGAAGGAGCTTGTCCAAGGTCACACAGACACACAGAGACTGGACTCCAGGTCTGCATGGCTCAGAAGCTGTGCTTTAACCACAGTGCTCTCCCGCTTTGTGCCTGTGCCTCGGTGGCATCTGTCATCTGTTCACTCAGCTCACTGGCCTTTCTGTTTCCTTCATTTCTTACTCAGTAGATGTTTACAAGCGTCTGTTTAAGAAGAAACATGGTTCTGAGAGCTGAGGATACCAAGACCTTCCTCTCACTTGCTTTGATTAAATAGGGGAGATGAGGTATACAATTACTAGGCAAGGCAGAAACTGCTATGCGTCCAACTGAAGTACAAGCAAAAGCCAAAAGAAGCTCAGAGTTAGGAGCAGTGAGTTCCAGCTAGTGGAGAGGATTAGAGAATGAAGGAATAAATGAAAGCATATTTCTTAAGCACTTGCTATATGTCTGGCCCTTTACTAGGAAAACTGTTACACATTACAGGGCATTAATCTCAGGCTTTCACACATGAAGAGACTGGTCATCTGGTCCATTGGGTTAAGTGACCCTTCCCTATGTTCCTGTAGGGGCCTGTCTTCCCCCTGCATGGCACTTATCACATACTAATTGCTTAATTGTGTCCCCCCAATAGACTGTGAGCCCTGCCCCAAGGGCAGGAACAGCATCTACATTGATCACTGTTGTGTCCATGTTGTATCCAGCTGACCCAGCTCAACAAGACACATGACATATAATAGGTGCACTGTAGATATTTGTTAGACAAAAGGAAGAAATGAATGAGGGAAAACAGACAAACAGAAAGGTTTAGAAAAGTCTCTAAGACTTTCTAGGAAATGGTGACGTAAGATTCAGACCCATGTATCCCGTCCAAATGTTATACTTTCCCACATGTCCCACTTTGTGTTGTAATGGGTAGGGTTGGGCTGGTCTTAGCAGGAAAGACACAGAGCCAGCTTCCAGGAAACCTGACCCTAGTCTCTGCTTCACAGTGCTTACTGTGTGGCTCTGGGCACATCCCTCCCCTCTCCGGGCCTACCAAGGGGTATTTCCTGGGATGGCTTGAACTTCAAAACAGCCTCTATGTGAGGAAGAGGCAGAACAGACCAAACTCTGCCCCTCTTATTTTTGAGCTTTTGAGGGAAACAAAATAAAACTTTTGGTTTTGAGCAGAATATTGGTGGGGTGATAATGTCTGAGGACCCTGAGGGGGAGGTTCCCACTTGCTCTCCTGTGCCTGCTACCTCAGATCCTCCAGCTGCCAGGCGGGGCTCAGCGATTTCCCTTGTTCCTTACAGGATGGAGGGCAATGCCAAATACATCCTTCCTACTGAAACAAAATATGTTGGAGAGATGAAGGACGGCATGTTTCATGGCCAAGGAACCCTGTACTTCCCCAGCGGGAGCCGATACGATGCCATTTGGGAAAATGGATTGGCCGTTAAGGTGATTAGCCTAGGAGGGGGACTGCAGAGGGGAAAGCCTCAGATAGGAGGGCCCCCCTACACACACACACACACACACACACACACACACACACACACACACACACACACGACACCCTGCCTTCCCTATCCGGTGCCACCTTCTTCCCTCCTCTTGACATCTAGGGCTCTGGGGTTTTCTCCCTCTGGATCCAGAAGGGCCCCTGGAGAGGTCATGACGAGTTTGAATCCTATTAAGCCACTAACTGTGTGACCTCGAGCCCATGACTTCCCCTTTGAGATTCATGCTCCTTGTGTAATAAATTGGGGACGAGTTGTATTAATTTCTTATTGCTGCTGTTACAAGTTACTACAATTTCAGTGCCTTAAAACAACAGAAACATTTATCTTACAGTTCTGGGAGTCAGAAGTCTGAAATAGGTCAGCAATGCGGCATTCCTTCTGGAGGAGCTGTGGGAAGATCCATTTTCTTGCCTTTTCCAGTTTCTAGAAGCTGCCTGCATTCCTTGGCTCATGGCCACCCATCACTCTGACCTCTGCTTCCATCGTCACATCTCCTCTCCCTCTGCTATTGTCATCACCTTGTCTTCTATCACTCTGATTCTCTTGCCTCCCTCTTATAAGGACCCTGGTGATTACACTGGGTCCCCACAGATAATCCAGGATAATCTCCCCACTTCAAGATCCTTAGCTTAAGCACAACTGCAAAGTCCCCTTTGCCATGAATAGTCCACATATTCACAGGTTCCAGAGATTAGACATGGGTGTCTTTGGGAACCATTATTCAGCCTGCTGCAGTGGTACCAGGCACCTCCTGGGATGGCTGTGAGAGTAAATGAGGCAGTATGTGTGAGTGCTTAGTTCAGTACGTGGCACACAGTAGGCACTCAATAAGTGTTAGCTCTTACTGTTTCTGCCACCACTCCTACTACTATCATGATAAATCATCTAATCCAAAGATTCTTAACTTGGAATTTGTGGGTCATGAATAGAATTCGGGGAGTCAGTGAAAGCTCCTAATTTATATAGAAAAGTTTCTGCATATGGGATATATTTTTCTCTGAGGAAAGGACCTGTAACTGTCTTCAGTTTCACTAAGGGTGTGTATGGGGCTGGCTCATGACCTAAAAAAGATTAAGAAACACTCCTTGTCTCACAGCTTGAAGAATCTAAGCCCCAGGAAGGGGATGTGACTTACCCAAGGTCCCACAGTGAGTTAATAGTATTGGAATTTCCACGCATGCTTCCTGATGCTCAGGCCAATGCGATATCTACATCCTGGGGCTTCCTTTAGCACTGAGGCAGCAAAAGCAGAATGTGTTTGGACAAAGGGCTGTGACTGATGGCTCTGACCTTTTGAGCTATGATAACAATTAAAAAATGATAATAACATCTATCGAGTGCTTACTATATGCCAGGCACTGTGCTAAATGCTTTGCATCTACTATTTCATTGAATCTCATTGAATCAACCCTATTAAATATGTACCATTATTTATCTTCATTTTACAAATGAGGAAACCAAGGGCTAGAGAGGGTAGGTCATCTGCCCAAGGTCACATTGAATTGTATTTTGAGTGCCGAGCACCGAGCTCAGCACTGTATATCCACTCCTCTCATCATCACAGCCATGATCGCTGTGACGGTTATCACTTCTTTTCTGTGACAGTGAGAAAGCCACACCTCGTCCCTTGATGTCTGTCCTTCTTGGGTAAAGAAGGGCCTCCCCAGACCCACCTGTGTGCTCCTTGTCTTCCAGGGCACGTACACCTTCTCGGATGGGCTGCACTATGATGCGAAGAACTGGCATTACTGCGACGGCTACGACCGGAGGTTCTACACTGAGATCTGCCACGGCTTGAAGCCTACAGGTACCCAAACTGAGCGGGAGACGAAAGGCAGTTCTTAAAAAGTGGGCCATGGCCCACTGAAGTAACCCAAAGGGGAGGCGGGAACAAGCTGGGGCCTCAGAACACAAAAGAGCCAGGTTCTGCAGCCAGAGAGCGCACACAGTATATCCAAAGTGACAGATGGGAAAGTGTAAACTGTAAAAATGAATCCGAACCTGTGAGATCATGTGGTGTAGTTGACACAGTGTGGAGCCGGAAGGCCTGGGTTTGAGTCCAGCCTTCCCTGCTAATAGCTAGCTGGGCCTGAGCAAGGCCACCTCCGTGAGGGCAGAGGCTCCAGACAGCGCGGGGTTGGAGTCAGGCCTCCCGGAGCTCATCCTTCCTGAGTGACCCAGGGCCAGTTGGCTGACCAGGTGAGCAGCCTCTCCCTTTGCCTCCCTGACACCTCACTCTCTCATTTCCCTCCTGTCCCCAGTCCCCTTTGCCAGCTCCTCCTCCTCAGTTATTAATTGTGGGGTTCCCCAGGGCTCTGTGGCGTAGGTCCTGTTCTGTTACCACTCTGTCCCTCTCCCCGCATGTTCACCCACTCCTAAGCCTTCAGTTGCCATCAGCTTCCAAGCTGAAATGAAACCTGAGCCGAGCCGCAGACCCCTGCATGCCGCAGACCCCCGCGTGCGGCTTCCCCCACGCCTGTGTTTGCTCATCCCTCAGCTTGTCTGCACTGCAGTCATGACTTCCCCACCTGGGAGTGCTCTCTCAGTGGCCATCCCCCCACCCCTTAGGTAAGCCGCATCCTGCCTTCTCCTGCACTATGGATTCTGCCTTTTAAATGCGTCCCATTCATTTGTTCATTAAACAAGTGCTTACTGAGCGCCTCCGCTTGGCTTGCCGAGCAGCGTTTCCTTCACCCTCCCTGCCCCAGCCCCGACCTCCACCCTCTGCCCCTCATCTGGTCTCCTGAGGCCTGTGCTTGACCCACTCTGGACTCTTGTTCACTCTGTAGTCACTTTCATCTTTGAAAAATGTGAATCTGATTGCCCACTGCCCCCCTACACATGCACACACACACACACACACACACACACACACACCCTTCAGTGCCTCCTCTCTACCCTGAAGATAAGGTTCCAGATTCTTACATCCTCTGGCTTCTGCTGATGTCCCCAGTCTCGTCCCACTCTACCTGCCCTTCTCGGGTTTTCCCTCACCTTTGACATGCTCCTCAAAGAGACCATGCCTGGAATGCCCTAGCCCTCTCACTTCATCCACATAGCTCCTCTCCATCTCCAGGTCTCAGCTTAAAGTCCCTTTTTCTCAGACTCCTTCCCTGAATTCCCAGGGCTAGGTCTCCCTATGGCATGCCACGGAGCAGCCATGGTCTTCCTCCAGAGCTCTCATGAGTGCGCAGTATCTCTTTTCCTGAGCTGACTGTGAGCTCCATGAGGGCAGGGGCTCTGGCTCATTGACCGTGTCCCCAGTGCCTAGGACATGGCCTGGCACATAGTAGGTGCTCAATAAAGTGTTACCAAATAGAGATGATAATACTGACATCACAGTGGGGGGAATGGGATGTACATTGTGTGGTTAAGGCAATGACACTAACATTTCCTGAGCACCTATTCTGTGTCAGACTTTGGCTGGGCCTTGGGCGACCCAATGCTGAGAGAGCATAGTCTTTGACTTCAAAAAGCTGCCAGTGTAGAGGTCACTTGGGAAACTTGTAAGTGGCTCCTCCTGGGTGAATGATGATGGGGCCTGGACTTTGTCATGGGCTCTTCACCCGAACAGAGACCTAGTGGCAAAGAGCCCCCGGCCATAGGCCCTAGACTCTCACACCACAGCTGCTTTAGCCAGAGCTGGGCCTCTGCCAGACCTGAAGGCAGTGTGGTGACCTTCCCGGCACCCTTCCCTTCTCCTTCTGTGACTCCCAGCAGAGCAGCTTGATCCTAAGTACCCACTTCCTTCCCAAGTCACTCAGCACTGCAGACTTCTCCAACAGCCACTTCTCAGCGGTTGTTATTAGGGCAGGGAGAGGGTAAGGCCCCTTCACCTCTCTGAGCATCTGGGAGATGGCCATGAGCAAGAGCTTCAGGGAGAGAATAGCTAGGGAGTGAGTCACACGGCGAATGCGCTCAGCAGTTGTTAGCCAGTGGTGCACCTAGTTACCAGCATTCACCAATCTAAGAGTGCCTGCAGCATGCAGGACCCTCAGCTGTGAGCACGGTGCCATGCTCAGTGGCATCCAGGCCTCAGTCCAGAAGACAAGGAATTACAGGAAACCCAGGAAGTTAGTCATCCCAACCCTGTACCCTTTGCTCAGGCCTCAGCATTCCAAGATATATGATACGCAGAGTGGCATGGCCTAAAAGGTGCTCCAGTTCCTCTTTCCCTCATGGTGGTTCCAGTGTCCTCAGTTCCTGGGGTGGTGCCCAGGCCCTCTTCTCCCCTGACATCAGCAACTTAATATACTAGTTACAAAACTGGGCACCTAGCTGCTTCCTAGCTGGATAACCTTGGGCAAGTTACTTGACCTCTTTGAGCTCAGTTTTCTCATCTGTAAAATGGGCCACAGGATTGCTATGTATGAGAATGAAGTGAAATAGTAGAAGTCAAACACTTAGCCAAATATCTGGCACATAATGAGCACTCAACAAATGGCAGCTTGATGGCAATTTGGGTGAGAGTCAAGGTTCTCCATTACCCAGTCCTTGCCCACCTGGCCCATTTCTTTCCTTCTGTTCTTCCATATACGTGCCCAGCTCCAAGGGTTTCCAAGTGAGGCATGAGCACCTGCTCTGACCTCTGCCTGCACCTTGAATGCCACCCCTCTCCTTACATGCCTTCTAGCCATATGGCCAACTCAGAGGCATCCTCAGGGTCTTTCTGACTCCAGAAATGTGCCCTTGTTGTGGTGTCCCTAGAAATGGTGGATGGTGTCAAAGAAAGGAGATGGGGGTCCAGTTCCCAAGATGCCCCTCACAGAGCCACTTCCTGGACGCTCCTCTGGGGCACTGCTCCTGCTGCTTTTGCTCGGGGCCCTCGAGGGGGAGTGTTTAGTCCAACAGCAGAGCCAATATCCACATGAGCAACCCACCAGAAGTAGACCTCGGCAGAGGCTGGGTTTGAATTTGGCCTTGGTGGTGAGTTAATTCTCCATTATATATCCTTTCAAGGTATCTCTCAACTCACCAATATGGACCCACCCAGAAAAATCCCCGTAGGCTGCTATGACTGTGGAGACGGCTTCTACAACCCGACCTCGAGGATCGTCAGGGACTATAAGAATCGCTTCCTGCGAAATGCAGGTATGTCTATTCTGACAGCCTGTGGCGCATGTTTTCTCTTCACTCATCCATGCACAGGTTTGTGCATGTGTGTCCACACGCATGCATGCCTCGGGTGAGAAAGAAGCTTTTGCCGATGAAAGACAAAAACTGATCATCTGAATGTTTCACTAATTGAAAATCTCACGACTGTTAAGTCTATACATAGTCACAGAGTGAGGGAAAGAACATTAGTGGTCTGACTGTGACGACACAGAAGTATAGCTTATTTCTGCATGCTCCCCTTCAACTAGTGTTTATGGACACCTACTGTATGCTAGACACTATGCTTGGTGTGGGCAGCAAGGCATGGCAAAGCTAGACACAGACCCCCTTCCTTCACGGAGTTTATCGTTTGACAGGTAACAAATGAGTCCTTTAAACAGTTGATTGCATCATGGAATAAACATGATGAAAGGGGGAAACATGGCCCTAGATAGGAAGAGACCCCTATCTAGAGAGGTGGGAATGATTCTGCAGGAGCACAAAGAAGGGGTACCTAATCCAGAACTGGAAATTCAGAGAGGGTTTCGAGAAGGAAATGTCAGCTAAGCTGAGACCCAAAGAATAATTGGGAGTCGACCACATGGCACAGAGAGAGATTTTCCAGCCAGAGGAGACAGCACAGCTAAAGGCCTAGGTACCATGTGGTCCAAGAAGCCGGTGGCCCCTCAGCCAGGGGAGTACCCTGAAGGTGCTGGAACTTCAGTTTGGTAAGTGAACACAAGCTGGTCAGACTGAGAAGGACTGACCGGCAGTGACCAGACTAGCAGGAAGCTAAGGTACAAATAAGAACGTTAGCGTTCTCCATGAACACCACAACTCCTCACCTTTCTCTTATCTAGAGTCAGACCCACTAGGAGCAGCAACAACTATGGACCTCTTCCTAGAAAAATACCCATGCATGCACACACACAAGCATGCATGTGTATATACGCACACATGCATATTTTGCACATATTCTTAACAGGGGCATGGTTCCTCTAAAGACCCAGATCAAAAAACTCTGCTCTAGAATGAGAAAGAAACTGCCAGGTAGACCAGAAGGCCTGTCCTGGCTGAGGAGTGTACTCTCCCTCTATAGGGACATTTACACAGTAAGGCAGTGTCCCCCACTACATAAATTAGTTGGGAGCATTTTTATAGAACTAGGGTTCCATGGAACATATTTTGGGAATTGTGTGTTAGTATCATCATTCTTCAGTTGTGGTACAATGCAACTGGCTCATTTTCAGCTTTTTTAGGTTTGAACTGTATTCCAGTCTTGCCTCGCTCAGGTGACATCCTGGCCCCGAGGAGATTCACAGTCTAGGGGGAGACAGACGCAGAAACAGACAAGCACAGTATAATGTGATGTGGGCCCTGGTGGGGGGGAGCCCTGGAGGATGACAGGGGATTGAGGGGGGAGAACTAATCACCTGGCCGAGGTGGAGGGGGTGAGCCGGAAAAAATGGTGCCAGGGTGATGCTTATAGATGAGTGAGGAGTTCATAAACAGGGATGCTGTAGAAGGGCATTTCAGGCAGAGGGAACAGCACACGCAAAGACACAGAGGCACGTAAGAGCATGGTGTGGCCGCGGCATCCTAACCCGGGACACCAGCCGGCTAGGGAGGCTTCCTGGAAAAAGCAAGATCTAATGGGCAACTTAAATAAGAGCAGACAAGTGCAGCAGGGTTGGGAAGGGTGTTAAAGGCAGAGGGAACAGCATGTGAGAGGATCAGAGATAGGGGAGAACCCTGGCAAGATGTCAAGAGAGGGACGCCTGAAGACCCCAGGCCCCTGGTGGTGGCATAGAGACCTGGGTTTCAGGTCCTGGCCCCTGCTCTCGGGCTGCCTGCTGGCTGACCCTAGGTCAGTGCCTTCTCTCTCCAGACCCCTTTCTCTTTATCTGTAAAATGAGGGCATTGGGCTGGGTAATTTCTAGGGTCCTTCCAACCTTAAGAGTCTATGATGGAGGAGAAAGGCAGCCAAGGGGTATTTTGGTCCTGATATTATAGGACAGATCAAGTTCGGAGTGTCCTGAAAAACCACTAAAAAGGAGTCTGTGTGTGGCCACCTAGTCATTAGCCTTGACTCACCCTGCCAGGGACTGATTCCAGCTTCTGTCCATCTTCTGTTTCCCCCAGGGCCCTTTCCTGCCTGCATTCCAGTCTGTCCCCATAAACAGTGCTTCCTGTTGGCATCCTGAAGGCACAGGCGTGCTGGCCATGCAGGCTGGAGGTGGGTGACTGAGGCAACTCCAAGTAACCACAGCGGCCTGAAGCACATGCCACCTGCGTGGGTCAGAGCCTGTCACAGGCTGGGGCACCAAGAAGTGTTGCCCTGGAGACTTTAGGAACTGTCTCAGCTGTGCCCCTATCTTGCCCTGGGTTCTTCCCCCAGGCAGAGAAGCTTGCTTTAAGCCTGGCTGGAAAGCCCTGGACTGGAAGGCTGCAAACTATAAGCACACTTGACCAATCTGGATTTCTAGACCTAGGTTGTCGAGAATGCCTTTCTTACTGGGGAGGATGGTACCTGCTTGCTGGGTTGCTGAGAGAATTTAAATCCATCCTTCCACTCATTAAAATGTCTTTGATTGCCTACAATGTGCCAGGCTTTGGGGATGGAGCAGGCAAGAATTCTCTGGGATCGTGGCACTCAAATCTTTGGACCCTCCTGACAATAAGGAAAAATTTATGTCATGACCCAGTACACACATAAACACATGCACACATATGTATGTATTCTTTCTACATGTGATGTACTATGATATTTTCTTTTATTTAATTTTTTTAAATGCTGGTTGCTACTAACAAAACTGATTTCACAGCCTCCAGGGGTCAGAACCAGCCGTTGGTAGACCATTGTTCTAGGCAGCCTTCCCTAACCAACCTGTCCATCCCTCCCTCACCCCCTCCACTGCTCTGTCTGGGTTAGGAGTCTCTTCTCTGTGCACCACAAGCCTCATTACCAGCACTTAGCCTGTGACAGTAGAAGTAGCTTTATTTGCCCATCTCCCCCACTAGAGTGGGAGCTTCCTGAGGGCAGGACTATATGACTCTGTCTGATTCATCACTGGGTCCGGGGCACCTCACACAGGTCCCAGGACTCAGAGCTGATTATGAAAGCAGGCAAGTGGGCAGAGGACCTGCCCACAAGTCCCTCTTCACATTCTTCAACAAATTATACAAAATTCAGCCCCTGGCACATAATAAACAACTTATTATTTTGAGTAATAAAAGCGATCCATTATAGTCACGTGCCACTTAATGATGGGGAATACGCTCTGAGAAGTGTGTTGTTAAGTGATCTCATCGCTGAGCAAATATCACAGAGTGCACCTGCACACACCTAGATGGTGAAGCCCACCACACACCAGGGCTCTGGGGTACAGCCTGTTGCTCTCAGGCTGCAAGCCTGTACAGCATGTTACCGCACAAAACAATGCAGATTAAGTCAACACGAGAAAAGACTCAGTCAAGAGACATGGTAAAATGAGATGTATGTGTACTCTCTAAAATAATGATAAAAAATATAGTAAATGCATAAACCAGTAATATAGTCATTATTATCATTATCAAGAATTACGTACCATACGTAATTATATCTGCTATACTTTTGTATGACCAGCAGCTCAGTAGGTTTGTTTACACCATCAACACAACACGTGGGGAATGTGTTGTGCTACGACCTTGCACGGGCTGTGAGGTCCCTGAGTGATAGGAATTTCTCAGCTCCACTATAATCTTATGGGACCACCATAGCATTTGCGGTCCGTGGTTGACTGAAACATTGTTATACAGCCCATGACTATATTTCTCTGCACCTCAAAAAGCTTGAAACCTTAAGCGACAGAGCAGCAGCTCTCATCCACAGCTCAGGGAAATGAAGCAGGGAAAGGAACAGTCGCTGTACATTGTAGGGGATCCTTGCCTGGCCCTTGCTGAGCGCCTTACCTGCTCATCACTTCCCCAAGTGGGCCGCTTGCAGTGAGGACACCTGGTCTCAGGTAGGTTAATAACTTGCTCCTGGTCATACAGCTGGTGACAGAGCCGGAGTCAAACCCAACTTGGCCCCAGCTCTGCTCTCATCCTTCTTGTCAGCTGTGTTTTGTAGTTTATTTTTCCCTCGGCTATCTCTGCTCCTAGACATGACTCATTCGCAGTTGTTCCTCCACCAAGCACAGTTCCTGGCACCCAGTGGGACCACAGCGATGTTCCTAAATGAGCGAAACGGTCCATTTTAGTGTCGTAAGACAAAAACACCGCAGTTCCCAGACTGAGACGCTACCTTATTTGACAAAGCGTCATTTACACACCATGGGCCAATAAGGAAGCCCTTGAGGGTGTTTGGGATAATTACCTTTAATATGGTGGGAAATTGGGAGATGGCCTCTGACCCCTCCTCCTCCTGCCTCCCCTTTCACTCCTCTGGGGAAGGATAGGCCAGAGCCCTTGGCAGTTCGCACCTCTCCGTGTAGCTGTCGCCTGCCTCAAAGTTACTAGCAGAAACCATTTACAGAATAACTGCGCCACTAATCCTTACTCCCTCCCCGCAATTAATGACACCCCAGGCGAGTGTCTCAGCTGAAAGGCACATTATTAATATTCAAAGGGAAAAAACCCTCATAGCCATTTTAACATCTACAACTAACAATGAACTAAATTTGCTTTGTGGAAGACAGAGAGTGAGCATCCCAAATTAGTTTATGTAAAAGCTGAAATTCTTTCTCGAAAGGTCTCAGTACCATCCTCAAAGAATGTCCTGATCATCAGAAATGCCGCTAAGATTCCCGCCAACATTATCCCCTTTGTTGTCTGAAATGTCGAATCAAGCACATCTGGCAAATGTCCTAGAGCTCACAAATCTTTCAAACAGCGTGTAATTCCCGATGGTTAAAGAGATAACGCCACCGCTTAATCGTGCTGCTCTTCAGAATAGCACCAACTTTCCTTCAATCAGAAACAATGGCTTTGGCTTCTTAAAAATATCACATACTGGC